ACAAGCAACAGCAAAAACAGTGTCTGCACAAAAATGGTACTGGAGAATTTGCCAAAGAAATAGATTAGATGCTTTTAAGCAACTCAACACAACAGTAATTGATAAAACTATATGCATTGTCTCGTGTCTCTAACATGCCACTCTTGAAAATAACCAGTAAGTTATACTACAGCAAATTTAGATAATAACCAGCTTCTGTTACATTTTGAAATTTTTAAACCATGTCTCATGCCAAATTCCTACAGCTGTAACCTTCTACAGATGTCCCATCATTTTATAACTGGTCATTTTCTTGGGAGTAAAATGCATAGTGAAGTGGGTGTGCATGCCACTTGAATCTATTTAGAGTGCTGTTATTTTAGAAATGCAGACTGCATTGTGCTACTTGAAAAAGATAAAGTTGAACAGCAAAAGTAACTGAATGGGTAGAGATTTTATGCTGATTTGTGAAAGCAAGTAGTATTGTGCACTAGAGAACATCACCAAGAGAACAAGATTACGACAAACCGCAGAGAGAAAATGTTGGCAGCACTAGCAAAGGGTCAGATCTACCTTCAATAATATTAAACATATTAATTTAAAATGTCCTAAACTTTCAAAATTCGGTTTAAAAGGCAACTGGGCCACCTATTTCAACTTACACAAAGATCAAGCATAAATGCATAGAAATTTTATTCTCAGGTCGCAAAATGCAGTAGTTGCCTCACCCATGGTAAAATTATTTGCGTGAAAACTTTTTTTTTAGGTTCATGTGTGGGTTAAAAGGCAGCTGGTTAGAAAAGTGAGTGAATTGCACATTGGTGCCATAAGCAAAATATACAGATCTAGCAAAATATCACGTACTGATATTGCAGTCTGATAAGCACTGAAAATCCAACATAAACCATGATCATTTCTGTAGTTCCATAAGCATGCGTAGTAACACAGAGAAAAGACAAGGACTGGAAATTAACAGCTCGTATTTTAGATTAGAAAAAGAAAAGCAAACTTTTGGCAACCAGTGGTAAGACAAGAAATAGGAAGTTTACAATAGCCAAACATGAAATAATCTTCTATAACGGATGTATTAATTGTTGGTGTCTACTTTTCATCTTTGAGGTAAGAGCCTAAACTGAACAACCCATTGGGTTAGATGGCACAAAGGTTTCTATAATCAGTGACATGCAAGGGAATGATGTAGCCAGTACAATGTCAGTCCACCTTTCATTCCCCAGACTGAATGACCAGGTATACCTGGGTCACCTGGGAGTGGCCTGTGAAACTCAAGCCTGTTTAGCCACAATGAGATGCCTTATCTCCTAGTACAGCACCCAGGACTTGAACTGAGAGTATGGACACAAGTACATTAGGAGCTGTTTAAGGGAATGTTTCAAAAGGGAAGCAGCTGTTATGTTCTAATCCTTACGTGTGGGTAAATGGGGAACATACAAAGATAGCAAAACCACCCCAAATTTAGCCCTGCTTTGTTCAGGTCAAAGCTGGAGCATTTTTACTATGCAGGCATTCCTTGAGTTACAATGTTTCGAGTTGCAACGTTTCGCACTTACATGTATAAATTGACACCGTTTCAACTTTGACGTCAGTTTTGACTTTACAACGCTTGATCCAATGCCACACCATGACAGTGAACAAGTTTGCTGCATCACCAATCTCCCTGGAGATCATTGTCCAAACTTCCCTGGACACTTTAAGAAAGCAGACAAGACTCCAGAAAAACCTGTAGCCAAGACTCCTGGGAAGGCTCCAGCCAAGAAACCTTCAGAAAAATCCAACCAAGAGCCCTTCAAAAAGTCCAGCAAAGTCACCTTAAAGAAGTCCTTCCAAATCAATATGATTGCTATTTACAATATAAATATATTAATTGCTCATCTATAATTGATCGAGTACAAAATTCTGGATTATTTTTGGTGAAAATAGGGTATGGGGCCTTGGTTCAGGAACCAATCGCACATTTATAACAGTGTTTCCTGTGGGAAAAATCAGTTCCAGTTAAAACATTTCAACTTTAAGATGTGGTTTTTAGGAACCAATTGTGTCACAAGTCCGAAGACTGCCTGTATGTGCATCAGTCCTGGCTTGCCTACATGTTAACTAATAGAATGTAATAGCTGCTGCCCTTTTGAAATGGTTCCAGCTGTCTGTGTCCATTCCCTCTGTGAACTAAGAACTATATACGCATCTGGCTTTGGACCTCTACATCCTCCTTGAGCTCCCAATGGCATCACTGGGGCTTTGTCCAAACCCAGTTGCAAGATCCTGGCTTCAGTGAGAAACAAAGGCCCTGAACACATGTTGACCTGTAGTCTCCCCACCTGATCAGCTGTTACTGCCCCAAGCTGCCTATAAGCTGTCTGCACGGCAACAGCTGATGAGGCAGGGGGACCACCCAACCTGCTGTTGCCCTGCTGAGGTGGAGGAACAGAATTATAGCAACTGTTGTCCATGGCAAGGACAGCTGTAGCTCTGTTCCCTATAGGCTGTCAGAGAGGGGAGGGGACCGAGGGAGAGCAGAGCATTATGGGATAACGCAGGGGGTCAGAGACCTGTTGCAGTACTACATGCAATAGTCTACATGTTACTTGTGGCAATACACAAGTTCCTATTTGAAAAATGAACATTTTGTAGCAGATCCACCTTGTTTGTAGTGTTATAAACAGCCTGAACGTATATGGATGCTTGCTTTTTGTAGCGCTATAAAGCATATATAGTGCTAAAAAGTAGAACATCTATGGCAGAGGGTGTCTTTCCCTTAGGATATTTTCTTCTTAACTGTAGCTCTCTGCCTAATGAAACAAAAACAGAGGTAACCAAATGTGGTCCCCATCTTCAAGAAGGGGAAGAGGGAGGACCCGGGTAACTATAGGCCCGTCAGTCTTACCTCAATCCTGGGGAAACTCTTTGAGAAGATCATCAAGGAGCACATTTGTGAGGGGCCGGCATCAGAAATGATGCTCAGGGGCAATCAGCATGGTTTTATTAAGGGGAGATCATGTCAGACCAACCTGATTGCCTTCTATGATCAGGTCACAAAGGCCATGGATGCAGGTGTCGCGGTGGATGTAGTCTTTCTGGACTTCAGCAAGGCCTTTGACACCG